TTCTCCCCCCCAGGTATTGGTAAATAGCAGGACAGATCGGCTTCTGTAGCTTTGGGTGGCAGATGGTCTGTCGCAGAAAGAAACATCAACCTACTGCGGGAAAAAAAATCTGCCTCGTCTATCATGTATCGAAAGACAGATTATCGCCTAAGCGTGTATCACTCATGGAACATAACTGATTCGGTCAATAAATGACGAATGTTTCCGAAATAAGTAAAAAAAAAAAAGGCTAATATCACCATTACAATTAGTTGAATATCTTGATGATACCTTTTTGTCTTTTTTGCTTATCTAACACATTTTTCAAGGAAACAAATATTCACCTTCTTTCTATGTATGACTGTCAGACTTTTTTATGACTTGTAACAGTCTCTCACTCACTTACTCATTCATACTCTCTCTTTGCCCCCTCTCCCTTCCCCCTCTCTTTCCCGTTTTCTCTCATCTTTCTTTTCCCTCTCCTTCTCTATATATCCCCTCTCTATCTCTCCTCTCTATCTCCCTCCCCACTCTCTCAAGTCCCGAACATTCCACCTGTGAAGTCTGGAGTGACAACCTAAAACGTCGCTAGGTATTATTGCTGTGGTTTCCAGAGCAAACTGGTTTTTCAGAGGATGGGGTTGCTAGCCCCAACAGATTTTTTAATTCAGAGCTGTTCTTCTACATGACCGTTTGCAAACCAATGCTAACGAGCCCCGCCAGCCCTAATAATTTAACCTTTAGCTACGGGAAGAAGAAATGGATTCATATATTTCCAAAGGGTATTTGCTTGAATATGAAGGCAACGAACTCAACTTGAATTCGAACTCAGTTCACTGATTTCCTGTTCCAAACCGCTAACCATTAAACCATTCTCATATTCCAGATCAGAGTCTAGTATCTGTTCAATCCATGCCGATTTCCAAATATAACGCTTTCTCACAAACATTCTTTTTAAGCGTCCAGACTGTTTTTAGTAACTACTCTAGATGGTCCCAACTTTTCATTTTATTTTAAATTCTTGCAGCCTTTTTCTCAGGTGCTCCTTTAACCATTGGCACTACTGCCACCATCCCGTTTGTTCATCTCTCTGACAAGATCAAGATAATTCCCTATCTTTTCATTTTCTTTCGGATTATCTGTTTTTAAACAAAAATTTATGGCTCCGATGCGTCCACATAATTCTTGTAAACTATTTTAACACCACGGAAAATGTTGTCGGGCAATGGGACAGTGGGCAGGTTGTTAGAAAATGATAAAAAGGTATTGAAAGAAAATAGATAACAAACAAACAACAAAAAAAAAACAGGTTAAGAAAAAACATCGGTAAAATGAGAGGGGGGGGGAGAAAAGAATGAATAGCTCAAAAGCTATTGACAGTAGAGAATCAAAAACAGGTAAGAAAAATGTTTGGGGCTGGCGTTCGGTTGCAGAATGAACAAAAGGCTGAAATAACGGATAAAGAAACAAATGAAAAAGATGCTTGTCGGAGAGGTTTGTTGTTTCCTCTACCCCCCGGTTCCTTAAAGCTTGGGGGATGCAACAATAAAAGTCATAATAATGATGTACGCGGGTGGGGTGACTAGGCAAAGGAAGGGGGGCGGGTGATGCGTGAAGAGGGAGAGCGCGAGTCGGAGGGGAGGGTGAAAATGGCACTCATACAAACGCTATTAACTCTGTCTGGCCAAGCGTGACATTTTTCAACAGGAAATGTGAAGGAAGACTTTCAGACCAACGATATATGTCAGAAAATGCAAAACCCCACGCGATATGAATCAGAAACTAACAAAAAAGATATAATAAATAAGCACACAGATATTTACGAAGCTTAACTGAGCGTGGGACATGGCGAAAGGTGTTGTTATTCACTAAGCTTAGTCTGGCTCAAGGCCGCAAATGAGAAGCCACTAGCAATATGTATAACGATACGAATGAAGAAAATGTGTTTCAAAGTGCAATAAAGCAACATTCACCTTTGTGCAAATTAATTGAAACAGAACTGTTATGATGTTAATTTGGGGTTAATAAAGACAAACGCCAAATAACATGTAACAATAAAATGGGGTTTATTCGGTTGGTAAGTTGGTACAGATATCGCCTGAGTAGTCTATAACTAACTCAGCTCAGAACTTCTCCGACACTGTCTTTTTACATGCCACTATTTTACGTCCTTGTTTGTAGACGAGTTCATCTTCAAGAGGGGTGGTAGGTTCCCACACAACAAAAACGAATAATTCTGTTATTATTTACACGTTTTCATATTTTTCAAATGAAGCAAGACCCAGTACACATGTTAGTACTTCGTATGTCCATTCCATGAAGTCATTCTTTGCAGATTGATCACAGATACTCGATTGGATTTAAATCAGGAGACTTTACGAGCCAGTCGATAATACTTTGATTTGCTTGCTGGTAAGGCTTGCCAGTGTGTTCGTGCAGCGTTACAATTTTCGAGTAACGTCCATAGCAGACAATATATATTGTTCAATATATATATACATATATATAAAGTGAAATTCGTTTGTTACCAAGACCCTTATGTCTCAAATAAATAGATTAAAGATAACTTGATGTCAATAAATTTCTTATTAAGTTTTTCGATTGTGTAAATTGTTTATATGAATTTGTTTAATATTATCAATCGGTTATTTTTATCTAAAAGACCCTATCCCCACATGGTTTGCCTTAGATCAGGATTGTTATATGTGAATAATACATTATTCAGTCTCAGCTCTAGGTTGCTAAGTTATCTCCCCTTGCCACATATACACTATTGAAAAGATTTTTTTTTCAAAACTCTTAGTTTAGTTGCATCTTCCTTGACCCTTCTCCCGACATCCCTTCCTCACCCCAAATCTTATTTCATCGTTTTTTTTTTCGACCCTTATCATTATTATAGTTCTTAATTACAATCTCTAACAGAACGAAAAAAAAAAGAAAAAAACAGAAACGAAGAAGAAAGAAAAAGAATGAAGATGAAAATGAAAGAAAAAAAAATCCGTTCACCAATTTCTCTTGTCTCATCCCCTCCGCCCCGTCACCTCACGGTCACCAGTCTCATTCTCATCCTAACCGATTTGTTTTCACTTTTTCCTTCCATTTATTTCCTGATTTTTCACAGCCATATTTTTTCATTAGTGTTATTCGTTTTCTGATTCTACTTGATGTATTTTATTTTTATTTTTTTTCAACCAGATGTACACACTGGTCATGTATAAAACGATCCTTCTCATATATGTTCATTCTTTTTCCCCCACTCCCCACGATTGTATATCTATATTCTCTCTTACATTGGCGCAATAAAGTCTTACCCAATAATCCAGTTCTAGTTTTTACCTATCTCCTTTTTCTGAAATTGAAAACATTTTTATTTTAACCCTTTTCAAGAGGACATTGCTCGTAACCCCTCCCCCACCACTGTCATATAAAAATAAAATCTGATAATCCCTCACGATTATCTTCTTCTTGCACCTTTTACATGTAGATTACAATTTTATTGCTATATTATTATTTTTTAGTATTTACTCTGCTAAGTCATGAACAAGAAGCAAATATTATTGAGGTATTGCTTTTTAGTGATGGTTCAATAAATATTAAAAATTGTTCAATGTATACAAATTCTGATGGTTAAAAACCCGAAAAGCTGATATTTCAAACTAAATCAGTCGTTTTTACCCTAGCTCCTATTTTGATATAGTGTGGTATTTTGAGGCAAAGTAAATTTTTTAAAACTAAAACTCTCGGTTTAGTCAAAAAGCGTAAGGCGAGGTAAATTTTTAAAACTAAAACTCTTGATTTAATGCGAAAATATGAAGTGAGTTGTAAATTTCTAACAATGAAATTCTAAATTCACTTAAAAAAATGTGAGGTGAGTTAAATTTGCAACGCTAAAACTCTTTATTTAGTTCAAAAAAGTGAGGTGAAGTATATTTCTAACACCAAAACTCTTCATTTACTTAAAAAAAGTGAGGTAAATGTTTAAAAACTAAAACTTTTCGCTACTTGAAAATAATAGGCCGGTAAGTTTTTTTTTGTTTTTTTTTGTTTTTTTTCTTTTCAGGGTAAGACACTAAAAATATATGAGTCGAGGTAAGTTTTTAAGACTTAGGGTCTAGTATTATCTACCTTATCCCCATACTTTGTCCTTCTTACCCCGTCCTTATGTTCACGCAACGTTATTCAGTAACACTCTGCCTTGTGTGGTTCTTCTGGTATTGAATGAACAGTAAGTAAAAAGAAACGTTTAAAATCTCTCAGGTTTTCTTTTCTTTTGGTGAACGATCATAACTCTCCACAACTTCCTATCCTTTGTAACTCTAAGCAATTTTTGTCTTCTTAATATGCACCTACTGCTTGTTCTACCAGACATTTACATAGGCGGCTATTCATTGCTTCCTTTTGTCCCTCTGTCATGTGAGTGTCAAGTTCTCTAAGCTCACTTTCCTCATTATATAATCCAGAAATTTCATCTTTTTTAATGTTATTCTAGGCAAAAGTTTTCATATTGTTTCTATTTTCCTCCAAATTTATTCGTTGTTCATATATTCTATGGAATTCTCAGCATCCTTCTGTAGAGCGTTATTTTCTTTTTCATTTACGAGGAAATTTTCTACCATTCACTGTCATATAGGAGCATTGATGTTACAAGAGAATAGTACTCTTTTGTTTGTTTCTAACGAAACTGCACACACAGTTGAAAATCAGCTTTTGCTAGAACTTTTTGCACTCGCGTAATAATACTAAATTGTGGGTAATCACAATTAGTCCGTTCTTTGCTTTTTCATCTCTTCATTTAATAATAATGTTGATGATGAAGAACCCGGTCAACGGCAGGAATAATATGGCGATGAGACAAATATGGCGGAAAGGTAATAATGACGCGAAGAAAAGTGAAAAAAACACTTAGTGAAGAGTAATAAAAAATAATAAATGTCGCTACTTGAAAAAAAAAAAAAAAAATCTAAGGCGCGCTTTCAAATAAAATGAATCAAACCAAACATAAAAAAGAAATATTTTGTTTTTTAAGCGTCGACGCTGCAGAGGTGAACATTCTCTTGCAAGGAAATGCAAACAACAAATGAAAAGAGGTAAACGAATTCGTGGGTCAGAAAGGGCGATCGGCGAGCTTTGAGTGGCCGTCCTATGGCAGGTGGATAGGTAATCGGGGAATGGGTCGTATTGATTGGCCAAGGGTGGTGAGTCTTACATTGGTCAAGCAGGGCAGAAGCCCAAAGGGGAGGGACAGGGCGGAAAGAGTGAAAATAAAATTCTTTTTCTATTATACATAGAAAAATAGGAATGAACACGGTAGATGAAGAGAGTGTTGGCGGAGTAGAGAGAGTAATAGACGAAAAGAGAGCTGAGGACATTTGAATAGATGTAGAGAGAGAGAGAGTCGATGGAGGTGAGCGTAAAACAAGAAGAGAGAGAATGTGTGTGTGTTGATAGAGAGTGTGATGAGAGAAAAATGAAACGAGAAGAGAGTGAGTTGAGATAGGAACAACAAGAGGAGGAGTTGAGACAAAAATTAAGAGAGGGAGAGTGCTGAGAGAAATGAAACGGAAAGAGTGATTTGAGAGAGTTATGAGATGAGAGAGAAACGAGAAACTAAAGAGATTGTTGAGGGAGAAAGGAGGGGAACAGGAGTTGAGAGAGAAATGATAGGAGAGGGATTTGAACGAGAAAAGAGAAAATGATTTGAGAGAGAAAACGAAGAGAGAGATAGAGGGTGTGTGAGTCTTGAAAGATAAATGAGAAGAGAGATAGAATCTGTATTGAGAGAGAAATGCAATGAAGAGAGAGGAAGTTGAGGGAGAAACTGAAGAGATGGGATTTAGAGAGGAATGGGAAGAGGAAGGAGTTGAGAGAAATAAGTGAGAGTGTCGATAGAGAAATGAAATGAAAAGAGAGGGAGTTGAGCGTTACGAGAAGCGAAAGAGAGTGAGTTGAGAGGGAAAGGAGGAGAAAGAAGCAAATGAACGAGTAAAGAGAGTGTTGAGGGAGGAAGGAAAAGTGCGTGTGTGTTTTGAGAGAGAAATGAGAGGAAATAAAAGAAAGCTGTATCGAAAGAATTGAAGATAGAGACAAGAAAAAATCAGCAGGTTAGAGAGACCAAATTAAGGTGAAGAATTAAAAAAAAAAAGAAAGAAAGTTCTTGAGAAAGAAACGAAAATAAATAGGAATAAAGATGTTTAGCTATCATAGAAGAAGATGGAGTTTGTGTCTGTATATTGTTAACTTGTCTCACTTTGGCCTTTTGCCCAATTCTTTCTGATCTAGGGCACAAATGGCTGACAGGCTTTTTGAAATTTATTTTCGTTTTCTTTCTTGAGGGGCCCTTGTTACTTCCAGTCTTTGGAGAAACCCAGTGAGTTTTTTGTTTATTTTTCTACTCATCTTTCTCTTCTCTCCGTAGGAGACGTCAAACATCCATGATTCTGTCTGGGTCAATTTTATTCTTTTGATTTTCTTTACGCATTCATTTTGTTTGCTTCTTCGCCTATTCTCTCATCTTCAACTCAATTCTTTTGTCGCATATTTTTCGCATTTTTATTGATTTTTTTTTCTCGTACTTCATTCTTTTATATTATTTTTTTCTCCATTTCATTTTTTTTCTTTTGATTCTATTTCTCTTATTTCGTTTTTCTCTCTTTTTCTCTTTCCCTCTTTTATTCCTTTTTTTCTCTATTTCTCCCTCTTTGTCTCTATTTTTCCCTCTTTCTCTCCCTCTTTCTCTCTTTTCCTTCTTTCTCACTTTTTCCTTTTTTCTTTCGTTTTCTTTCTTTCTCTTTCCCTCTTTTTTTTCCCTCTTTTTTTCCATCTTTTTTCTTTTTTCTTTATTTTTCTCTATTTCTCTTTTTCTTTATTATATATATATATATATATATATATATATATATAAACTTTCTAGTTTTGCTTCTTTTTATTTCTTACGTCTTCTCTTTTTCTTTTCCTCTCTTTTTCTCTTTTTCCCCTTTTCCCTCTTTTACTCTTGTTTTCTCTATTTCTCTCCCCTTCTCTTTATTTCTCCCTCTTTTTCTCTATTTCTCCCTTTTATTCTCTTTTCCTTCTTTCTCACTTTTTCCTTTTTTCTTTCGTTTTCTTTCTCTTTTTCCCTCTTTTTCTCCCTCTTTTCTCTTTTTCTTTATTTTTCTCTATTTCTCTTTTCTCTCTCTCTCTCTCTCTCTCTATCTATATATATATATATATATATATATAAACTTTCTAGTTTTGCTTCTTTATATTTCTTACGTCTTCTCTTTTTCTTTTCCTCTTTTTTTCTCTTTTTCTTTATTCATTTTTATTTTTCTCTCTGCATTTTTTGTTTTAATTTCTCCCCCTTTTTTTTAAAATGTCCTTTTTTTTAAATATATACCTTTTTCTTTTTTCTCCACCTAATTTTTTTTTCCTACTTTTTCTTTCACCCTTCCTTCTTCTTCTGTTTTCTCCCTGTTCCCCCCCCCCCTTTCCCCTTTTTATCTCATCATTTCTCTGTTTTTCTTCTTCGTTACATCTTAGCTTTTTTTCTTCTTTCTTTCATTCCACGCTCCTTTCTCTTTTTACATCTTTCTATTTTCATTGATCTTTTACCGCTCCTCTCCACCCCCCCGACTTTTCTTTCCTGTTCCATCTTTTCACTCTTAACCTAAACATCGATTGAAACCAGAACGCACTGAATGTGAGGGACTGACCCACAACACATAAGCAAAAATCACATGAAACCTTAGAGGAAAGAATAGCGGAAAAAATACGGAACCGTAAACGAAACACAAATTTTAACGAACAAAAACCATAGCAGACAAAGCACGTGACTCACTGTAAGCCTTCACCTCTCACTCATATGGAGGCTCGGAGTGAGAAATTGAAGAGCTGAGGTCGAATTCCAGTCGAGTTTCTTGCATTCAAAAACGTGCAAATACCCTTAAGAAAGATATGTCAATCTCTTCTAACCCCAGCTATGGGTAAATAGCAGGACAGACTGGGTCCTATAGCCCTGGGTGACAAACCGTCTAGGAGAATAACAACTCTGTATTCAAAACCCAAGGAGGATCATTTAGGGATCATATAGCCCGCTGTACACCAGTCCCCTGTATTCAACTCCTCTGCACTTTATTTTAACATGTTACATCGAAAAACATGTCAAAATCGCTACACAATTGCAGCTGTGTTTCGATGCGTATCAATGCATCTCATCAGGCGATTGTAAATTACTGGCGAGTGAACGATTCATTCAGATTTAAAAGCAAAATACAGTCTCTTTTTACGAAAAAAGAAGAAAGTGGGGATTGTTATAACGTTTGTGGGCTTTACTCAGATCAACCAATCGAATAGGACCTACGTTAAATTTAAACTAAGCGAAGAAGCAAAAATTAAGAAATTATTTTTCATAAATGGGTCATGACCGGTAGATTTGAAATCAGTGTCAGCAATAGACGTTAAACGGGGCGGATGTAAATGGATACATATTGTACAATTAGACAATGTCATTTGCTAAGAAAAAATGAAGTGGTAATCTAACAAAATGCTAGACAATTTACGAATTTTTATATATATATATATATATATATATATATATATATATATATATATATATGTGTGTGTGTATATGTATGATTATTTACCCGCTGCCCCATGCAGCAAGATGTGGCACAAGGCCGAGTTTAAAGTGGGGTATCCTGGCAAAATTTCACTAGAGACCACGTAAAAACGTAGTCAGTTTCTCGAGAGAAGACTCTGATATATATATGAGCTTCACTATTTAAACAATTTTAAACCCAATTCTTCTTCTACGTACCGTGTCCCTCCGGTACATTGGCGGTCATAGCTCTCCACTATTTCCTATCTTTTATCTATTTGTTATTTCTTATATTGTTATCTGTCCTATACTTTGTTCTGCCATCAAGCTCGCTAGTTAGGTTATGCGCTGTTTTCCTCACTGTCTCTTGTCTTCTATCTGTCCTGTGAGTATCAGATTTTCCAAGCTCTCTTTCCTCATTATGTGCCTTAGACATTTCAGCTGTCTCTTTCTGATGTTATTTATAAGTGTCCTTTTTGTTTCCATTTTCTCTAAAACTTTGTAGTTACACGTTATTCGTTATGAAAATTAAATGATAGCATTTTAGTTGTGAGTCGGCCACCTTTGTCTCTTGGCAACAAATATTTTTAGACTCAGTCCGCCACTGACTAAAACGACAACTACCTCAGCCATTAGTTATATATATATATATATATATATATATATATATACACACACACACGCTATGGCCTTTATTATAAATAAATGCTTCGATTTAATAATGGCCAACAGCCGAGACAGAACTGTTCATCGTTTATTGACGTTGTTCCATCGGCCACTGACTAAACAAATGAGTCGCGTTCTATTTTCTTTTGTGTGTGTGTGTCGGTGGTCTCTTTTTTGTGGTTGGATTCATAGGAATTAATTGCTACCCCGATTAACATAACCAACACTCCTACTCTTTGCCTAAAGTCTACATTTTCCTTTCCGTCTTTTGTTTTCTTTCTTTCTTTTTTTTTTTCTTTCTTTTTTTTCTTTCTTTCTTTATTTCTTTCTTTTCTTTCGTGTCTTTCTTCTTTTCTTCATTACTTTTTTCATTCTTCGTTTCGCTTCATTTTTGTCTGATTTTCTTCATATTTATCAATTTATATTATTTCTCCTGTTTTTTCTTGTTGATTTTTCTTTTTTTCAACGTTTCTTCCTTTTCCTTGTTTCTTTCTTTTCCTTACTTTTCTTTCTTTTCCTTAATTTTCTTTCTTTCTTTCTTTTCCTTACTTTTCTTTCTTTCTTTCTTTTCCTTACTTTTCTTTCTTTCTTTCTTTCTTTTCCTTACTTTTCTTTCTTTCTTTCTTTTCCTTACTTTTCCTTGTTTCTTTACTTTTTTATTTTCCCTGCGTTTTCGTTTTTTCTTTCTTTCTTTCTTTCTTTCTTTCTTTCTTTCTTTCACTACTTTTCATCCATTTCCTCTTTCTCATTAACATCATTTAAAAAAAATCGTCTTCGTAAATTATCTCTTTTTGCTTTATTTTATTTGTTGACATTTTTCCTCGCGTTTTCCTTCACAAATTTCCTTCATTTCTCTTTTGTTTCCTTCCATTTTTTGCTGGTCTCGTTTCTTTGTATTCACTTTCATATCTTTCGTATTTACTGAGATATTTTTTCACTTTTTTTTGACATTTTATTACGGCCGCTATCTTGATGTGTAGGCATTTGTATAGAGAGCCAACGCGCATGCGTGTTTGAGCGCTAGTCTTCCGGTCTTACATACAACCCGCCATGCTTTAGTCTTCTTTATTTGGCTGCCTCATTTTTCCATTCGTCAAGACCGGATACAAAAGGAGTCATTTTCTCATAAGATATGATTTCACTCACTCACTCTTTCTTTCTTTCTTTCTTTCTTTCTTATCTTTTGAAAAACCTATCCTTCTTTTTAAAAAAAATGTCAGCGTCCTGTGGCTTAGACGAAAAAAAATGTTTCCAAGTTGAAGTAAATCTTTATGGCTTCCATATTGCATATAATTCCGTTGTATGAGTTCCAGCTGACAAACACACACACACACATATGAAACAACATAATAGTTTCTTGTATATTATCATTCTGATCATTTTGAGTTTGCATTAATTAAAGTTATCAGTTAATGCCACATATGTTTTTTTCTACATCGAGCAGCTTTTAAAATATTAAGAGAATCTTCACCCAATGATAAATGCCCACAAAACAGGTATATAAAAACATGATAATTGGAAAAGATTAATTGAATTTCATCCCAATTTCTATATCAAAATATTTATAGCGAGGCTATATGTCAACAGATTGGTTATGAGGACCGCACTGTTACCCCACGTGGTGGGAAATGGAAACGATATATGAGAGCGGTCGATAGAGAAGTAATCTCCTAATACTGGATTATATCATTGTACTTTGATTAAACTAATCTCGGATATTCATTGAGATAAATGAGACTTAATATTTTTTGTCCTAAACATCTGAGTTGTTGGATGTTTATTGCTTGGAAAATTCTTGGAGGAACACGTCAGAAGAATAAGCTTAAGGACGCAAAGCAAATGTGCAATTTAGCATTAAACGCATTTTAAATAGAATCTCTCGTTAAAATTAGCCACCAACCTAAAAAGACGCATGGTTGTAAGTAAAAGAGACATCTCAGGCTGTGAATTATGTGTTGGGGACGTCAAAATCTTGCAGGTATAGAAATTTAACCGGATAATATCGTAATGCTGGAATTTAATAAATTTACTAAAACATACTGTACGTTCTGCGTACAACTTGATGACCCTATAGGAAATTATCTTTGGTACATATGACGATAAACAAAAAAAGACATTTGATAAATGATAATCACAAATTTTATCGCCAGAATCTACCTTAAACTTATTACCATCCGTTCATGCATTGAATATTGCTGTCACATCTGTTCAGATGCTAAGGTTATGTATTTAGAGATTCTGGATAAAATCTAAAAAAAAAGAATCTGCAATTTCATCGGTCCTGATCTGGCATCTCGGCTTCAGCCCCCCCCCTTTCCACCGCTTTATAAATATTTTAATGACAATTGTTCTGATGAGCTCTCCTCTTTCTTATTCCTACTTCATGTCTTTAAGCGCAGTACTAGATTGGCAGCTATGTCTCAGCGTAAGTTCAATTCTAGCAGATTCTTCTCTCGTACTTCTTGCATGTGGAGCTCTCTGGTATCGAGTTATCTTGTTAACAACTGCTTCTCAGGATGGGCGCATCCTTGATTGTTATTTTATTTTTTTTAAGGCCATGTCTCTTCATGGCTTTTTAAGAAAGTAAACATTGGATTGGCCTCCTGTTGTCTTTTCCACAGTTTTGAATTCGGAATAGATGTTCTTCTAGACTGGCTGACATCGGAGGCTAGAGAATCCAGACAACACTTCTATCTAGCCCGTAGATAATTTTTGTGAAAGTGAACGCAGCTGACTCGGTTAGAATTAGAATTTGGCACGCCGATTCCACTCAAGGCGTTAATAACAATTACAACGTGTCCTCATCCATTCTTTATTTACTGAGACATAATACATGATCGAACCTGTTGATGATTTTTTTCTTCCATCTTTCCATTAACGTAATTTTATATTTACCAGACCTTATTCTGAAGAGTTTCACCATTCTAAGGATCAGCACACGCATACGAGAGGGTTCTCAAAGCAAGGAGTTTGGGATGGTGGTAGATGGAATAAACTCAAACGAAATGAGAAGAAAAAGAGAATAGAGGATATTTATATTAAACTTTGAAACAGCATAAGTAGCAGAGGCGTCCTTTGCAAACACTTATCATTTTATTCATATATTACTGGATTTAATTAACAACTTTATCTATCTATCTATCTATCTATCTATCTATCTATCTATATATATATATATATATATATATATATATATGTATATGTATGTATGTATGTATGCATTTTCGCATTTCGGTCTATCGAAGGCTTACGACGATATCACGTTGAAACAGCGGTTCTCGTATGATCACCGTTAAGTTAAGCAATGTTGAAGTTGGCCAGTACCTATATGGGAGACCGTTTGGAAACACCAGGTGCTGTAAGCTTGGATGTGCGGGTGGTGTAATGGATAATGGCTCGGAATTGGCAATCGAAGAGCCGAGTTCCAATTTCAGACCGGTTCGTTGTATTCGCTTACGCGCAAATACCCTTGAATCTACCTCTTCTCCCCCCCAGCTATGGGTTAATTAGTATGACTTGTATCAGTAAATCGTTACTATCTGACCCAAATTCTGACAATCTAAAAATATTTTCTGATTTTAAATAACCTGAAAAAGGTTGATAAGCCGTAAAAATCAATCTATCGAGTCTATCGAGTTGAACGCATCTTTCAGATTATTATCGGAAGTCAACTCAGATTTTCGTAATTCCTCACTACGGTGGAGTAATGGATAGCGATTCGTATTGTGGAATCAGAGAGCCGAGTTCGAAATCCAGTTGGATCGATTACATTCATTTACGTGCTAATAATCTTGGGAAAGGTATGAATTATCTTCTTCCCCACTAGCTATGGGTAAATAGCAGGACAGACCGGGTTCTATACCATTGGATGTCAACTGGTCTACCGCAGAAAGAAATAGCAGCCTACTGCGGGAAAAAAAATCTGCCTCGTCAGTCATGTATCGAAAGATACATGATCGCCTAAGCGTGTATCACGCATGGCACATAACTAACATTTGACGGCATGTCTAGGTCCTGGGCGATGCGGAATAAAGAAACTCGACGTCTGATAGATATTGTGGACTTTATTTTTGATATAATAATATAACCTTGTTGAGTGAGAGGTTATAAATTTCACCAGGGTGGTAATAATCTGTATTCGAGCAAAGTTAAACCTTTGGATTTTGAAAATCTCTATATATCTAGATATGCATAATAATTACACACTTTGATTGAGGCAACGCTATCTATCTAGCTTCATTTCCTCTTTATTTAGCCAAATTTACTAACTGACAGTGGTATTGTCGAGCAAGAAGTATAATTTTTCTTTTCTTTTTGTGAATGTGTCACTGTCTCTTTCATATTCAAGTTTCCTTCGTGAGAAGAGAGTGTTTGAAAGTAACCTTAAACGCTATCGGGGTCCCCCTTCTATACCCTTAGGGCTCAAAATCGGGTGTGTTCAGACCCACCCACTATTACACGCTCACTGACTGCATTTTTACATTTAATATCAAACCGCAGGAACAAAGAAGCGAAGGTTTTTTTATGTCGACGTGTTGGCTGGTGACGGGGATGATGTTGGCTCGCATCCTTTCTACTTGACGTGTTTCTTTAATAAATGAAGGTTTTGGTGTTCCAACTTTTATAAAACGAAGAAAGTTCACTATTCTCCCTCATTCGCTCTATCTCTATCACTCCCTCTATATCTCCTTATTTCTCTCTCTCTCTCTCTCTCTCTCTATACATATATTTATTATACGAGATTATAATAAAAACATTTTACGTCGCTACACAAAAGCTTTCATGTTTCAATACTATGAATGTACTTCCTCAGGAGATGATTGGTAACTGTTGATAAAAATGATTTTTTAAAAACAAAACGTTCTGTTTTTAAATTTCCCATATTTATCACCAGTTACCAATCACCATGAGAAAGTACAATCATTGTATTGAAACATGAAAGCTTTTGTGTAGTGATGAAAATGTTTTTATTGTAATATATTATAATAAAAAAATATTATAATATTTTGCACTACTTTGTATTGAGCACTTTTTAAAAAAAGTAAATACTACGGATTGTGAATGTTTATTCCATTTGTTCTTTCTCTTATTTGGGTATATATATATATATATATATATATATATATATATATATATATATATATATATATGAAAAAAATTTGGAAAAAACGAACAAAAATACTTAAATGCAATTATGTTGTTTAAAATGAATGAAATGTCGACGTCTGACGTTTCGGTTTAATAAACCTTCTTCAGGACAATATTCATTAAAATACAATTCAGTTCAATTTGACAAAGACGATGGACATAAAAACAAGTCTTATCCAAAACAGATAACTGAAAATTTTTAAAATCATCAGCTTTCCGTTTAGCATGGTCACGTTGTCGTCACATTCAAAACGTATTCCTAAAAAATTTTTGATTATTTTGAATGAAAAAGAAAATGAAAAGAATTCTATTAGGATCTAAAATTTTTATGTGTATGCTTGTCGACATTTCATTCATTTTAAACAACATAATTGCATTTAAGGATTTTTGTTTGTTTTTTCCAAATTTTTCTTCATTCTGTCGGATCTATATCCATTTACATTTGCTTACATATATATATATATATATATATAATTGGATTGATGTGAGTTTGTGTCCCTGGGTTTCGCGCTATTTGCTATCGTCAGAGTTTGTGAAGATGAAACGGAACTAATGCTTTTAATTTAATTATATAATTAAATTTAAAGTTTTTAGCTTCTATTTTTGAAACATAGTTATTACTGTGTAGCGATAAAACCATATTTTTAAATCAGTTAATTTATAATATTTATGCTCTGTAAATTTACATTGAGCTCTGTTTTGTAAAAATAAAAAAAATATCAATAAGAACACCGGATTATATATTTCCTGTTCTTTCTTTTTATTTATATATACACAACTTATATATATATATATATCTTTATTTTATTTTATTTTATTTTTTTTCCGTTTCATTTCATTGTTGTAAGTGCTATCTGATGATCCGGCGTCCTTTTAAAAGGAGTCTGGTGATATAAATTATTGTAATGGTACCTTAAAGTGGTTTGTTTTTTTTTTATTTATATATATATATATATATATATATATATATATATATATATATATATATATATATATATATAATCAAATTTGTTTTTTTTCGTTTTTTCTTAATTCTTAGTAAGTTTCCTCCACTGACATCTTCTTTCCCACTCTCTTTTTCGCAAGGAAAAGGACCAACATTTAGATGCTACATTTTGATTTTAGAAAAAGCGAAAAGGTCGATATGTGGTAACGAGCTGAATAAGAGTTTAAATCCTCAATAACAACGTCTCATTGGTTTCAGCTCAGAAAATGTAACAGACACTACACTTTGATCCTACGCAGAAAGGTGTCAAAAATAGCATTATCAATATATGCACTGATTTATTCGAACGTTTATGCTCGGTTTGATTGTTATCGTCGTTACTTTTCAACCGTTTTACCAAACTCGGATACAATTTTTCTTTCTCCTGTTCTTCATCCGAAAAGGTGCCTAAAGGCCACACAAAGCAGAGGATTATTGAATTAGATTATTGTAATGGCTTAGAGAATCTGGAAGTAAAAAGCGATGCATATTATGTGGGTATGTAGGATAGATATAGGTCTAGGTTAAGATTGTAGCGCTCGAATATTCCATTTTCACAAAGTGACAGTTCTGTAGAAGAATTTGAATTAACTTCCATCTTACTAGACGGGTACGAAAAGAACGAGGTTATTTTGATGCCGGATACGTAGTAGAGTGGGTCCTTGATGTAAAGGTCTGAACTAGTTGAACAAAGGAGTGTAGCTCGTTTAAATATTTGTCATAGTGATCTGCGATAGATTAATGAAAGGCTAGCAGTCTAACGTCTGTGGGAATGGGCTTGCAGGGTTGAAAATAATTCATCACCCTCAAGGCTTGAGTAATCGCTTTTGAAATCTGTAAAGACTGAAATATGAGGATTGGGTGCTTCCGGTTCAGCAATAATTCAGTATTAGATTGATCTGACTCCTGTAAATCTCAAGCATGAATTGGGTCTGAAAAAGATTAAATGATTTTGATTTCATTGTTTTCTATGTCATTATTTGAAAAATTGTATTTTAAAAAAAAATTCCTAGCTGTGATATCACCTACTACATAGACATCATTGTTATAACGTCTTTTATTTTCTTGATTACAGGTACGTCTTCTGTCTCACCTAAACGGGCTTATGGAGATGCTCACGTCTGCGGTAAATGTCGGGCCGAGTTTGTTGATTTAGCTGAGTTCTTATCGCACAAAAAATGCTGTAGTCAGCAGATTATTGTTTGCAGAGAAGCGGGTCAGGATAAGGATTGTGAGGAGGTTCGGTCTCCCGACCGAGAATTGCAAGAAAACGAAGAACTGACCCACACAACGACAGACTTGTCAGCCACAGCGACCGAAGACACTGCTGAGATAAATATAGACCCAAGTTTGGAGCTTCTAAAAGAGGAAAGAAAAGACGACGTCGACATCGAAGCCGGAAGCCCGAACGAAGACGCAGACGACATCGACGATGAAGACGACATCGAAGACGACGATGAGGATTTTGATGACAGCGGCAAACTGATTAACAGTGATCATCCGTTCGCTCACGTCGAAGAACAGACTCACCATTCAAATCCACATCTTCAACACTTATACGCTATTTCGACGTCGACGACATCCAAACTGGGCATTGCCGAAACAACATCGACCTCGATAACAAGCATCGGCGAGAGTAACACAATGAGAATGTCACCAGAGCAGTGCACGGACAAACACAGTCCTATTTTAAACGGCACTGATAAAAACACAATTGCCAGCGCCTACGACCTAAATGGTGCTGACTACCTGCACCTGGACGACGGTCGTAAACGTACACCGGAATCACCTTCCTCTCAACTACCTCACTTTCCAGTCCCGTATTCTTCGGCGCTGTTGAATGGGACAGGCGGAAACGTCATTATTGAGCCCCTTTCCGAGACGAGGGCCGCTGTGGCGCAGTTTGCTGAAGCTAACAGCATCAGCCCGGCCGATATGGCTTCCTTGCGGGCATCGATATACGGTCTCCAACAACAAGCTACGGCTTTCATTCAATGTGTAAACATGTTCGAAGAACGTTTCATGGCATTTGCTTCCAGCTTTGGCGAAGGGGCCGCTGCCGCAGCTGCCGGTTTACACCTCCCAAACGGGCCTGCATCGCTAAGTCCTTCCCTTGCATCCGCCTCTACAGGCGCTGCCCCAACTGGTTTGCCCGCTATTGCGGGCAGTGGCTTGAACACTGCCGGTCAGTCCCCGCTGGACGGATCCGCCGGCAACGTGGACCTCGTCGCCACGACGGTCAACTGTACTCTGAGGCAGACGACCGTCGTAAGCAAGGCTGGGAGTCATTCCCAGTCTTCTCCCAGTGCAGTGCCGAACAGCTATCCGCAAACACACATCTCGTCCACAAGTCAGCACCATCCACATTCTCAAAGTCATCACACGAATCAGCTTCATTCAAATTTAACCTCACTGACATCATCTCATTCAAGTACTATGGACTATCACCCATACCAAGGTAAGTTTACATCTTGTTTTGAGAAAGAGCTTGTTAAAAAATAACAATGTTAAAAAAATGTCCATCAAGAACTTGCTATTTGAATTAACCCGCTCATCAAAAAGAAGAAAAATGACTATGGTAGCCCGTAAAGGAGAAATCAGATTAAGAATATTTAAAATCAGGCTACCGTTTCTTTAAACCAGCGTTTCTCAACCTTTTTACGCTTGTGGAACCATTGAAATAGTTTTCATGTCTCAGGGAAGCCATGCATAAAATTATTATACTCGATTCTCCCCGTCGAATTCGACGTATGAGAGTCAAGCAGATCAGTTCCTAGGAAACCGACAGCAGCACATGATATTTGATTATAGTGGTGAAGGTTTCGTGCAGGATCATCTACACATTTTGAAGGGCCGAATACAGAGACCTGGTGCACTAAGTGTCACAAGGTCCCCAAACGACCCTCCGCAGGTTTTGAATTCAGAGTTGTTCTTCTCCTAGACCAGTTGCCATCCTGGTCTGTCCTGTTATTTACCCATAGCTGGAGGGAGAAAAAGAGGATTCACACCTTTCCCAAGGGTATTAGAACATAAGTGAATGTAATGGATTCGACTGGAATTCGAACTCGGCTCTCCGATTCTTCAATCCAAGCCGCTATCCATTACTCCACCCTGCCTCCTTATTATTAAAAATTATTATAGACCATTTTTAAATTTATGTCGTATTATAATCATCGACTTTCCAACGACTTTTCCTTTGCATGTATAGCAAAATTACGAATTTAAATTTCACCAAAAGTTGCTCAAAAATGCTTTAGCCTGTTCATCACTGCCTCTCGCGGAACTCCTAGTGTCTTCTTGCGGAACATTAGGGTTCCGAGCAACACCGGTTGAGAAACGCTGCTTTAGACCATATTTGTTTACAACTTAGGATAAACCTTGTAGTATTAATTTATGTGAATTTAGATTTTAAGTATCTTTCCTAGTGAATATTTCGTTCTTGTCGTTATTGTTTTTTTTTTTATCATAACATTCTAGGTTGAAAAATATCTGACTGATAACATCAGTGATTGTTTAACAAAGAATTTTCAAACTAAGTAGTGTGAGATCAGAATACTAAAACAGTTTCATATAGAACTGGACATGTATTTGACGTCTCAGGAGCAACGCCTTACGTGGACAATACTTTAACAAATTTGAGCACTATTTAAATATATTGGTCCAATCGTAAAAACAAATAAGGAACGTCAGTGTTAATTAGTTTTGTAGATTAGCTCTCTTTAGATTTCTGAAGCAGTGACACGTGTCAGAATCAATACCATCACTTGATAAGACACCAGAAGTGTTGAAACATAATGGCTGTTTTTGTAGTGATTTTATAACATATTTATGTTATAATTTTCGAATAAATAATTATATTTGCCCTACTCGGTATTGAGCATTCTTTTAAGAATAGTATTTCTTGGTCATTGAATTTATTCCGCATACAATCCTATCCTAGTATATATATATATATATATATATATATATATATATATATATATATATATATATATATATATATATATTTGTATAATGATGTTTTGTTTATAATATTCATACAGTGTCAAATCAGGCACTGACTTTTTTTCACTTTATTTATTATCCTTCAAACAAAAGCTTAGGATGAAAGCCTCAAATAATGCCGGAAAGAGTTAACTTGAGAAACCTATTTTCAAAAAAAGTGTGACAAGAGAAATATCTTTTTTTATAAATTTCGTCCGGGTGTGGCACTGACTACTTTGTCAGTGAATGTCGAATGTTTGGATGGAAATGGCTAATATTAGCGTTACCATTACAAATGCATAGAATCTATTACTATATTGATTGCTATAATTGTTGCCATCTGTATACATTATCAATATTATGAACAGGACTTCACTTCGAAATCGATAAAAAAATATCTGTTTTTCGATTTTGACATTATTTTAAAGACAGATTTTCAAAACACACAAACTTTCCACTCGAATGGCAAGCACAAATCTTCTCTGGCCTTGTGCCAGATGTAAATGGTGTTTTATTAAGAGAGATCAAAATTAGTAAATAAATCAGGGTTATTGGTGAACATTTATTTATTTCTCTATTGAATCATATTTTTTAAGTCATGGCAATTGTTTGAAAAATAATATTGCCCAAATGTTCGCTAAGGCTTCGGCAGCACACCTCCACTCGATGGTTGATGACGTCTCTGCATAGATACTCCTCGATCTCACCAATATGCCTTATTATCTCCTCCTTCAGCTATTGAATTGCTGTTGGCTTGTTGGCATAGAGCTTACTTTTGAGATGACCCCAAACGAAGAAATCTAAAGGCGCCAAGTAGTACGATCCTGGTGGCCAATTGATTTCGCTGTTTCGAGAGATGATGAGACCTGGGAACTTTTCGTTCAAATTCTGTTTGAACGTCCATTTTCGTAATAGGCTTCGATTAACTTTAACACGTCGTTTGATTGTTAATCTTTCCATGGTTGAAATTGCCAAAGACTTAAGTCGTTAAATGTGAAAAAGAAAAAGAAAAAAATTCATTAGACGCTTAAACTTAATTCACATTTAAAATCGGTCCAAGTTATTGGAACACTCTTTATATCAGAGAAAATATTTTCAAAAACAATGTTTTTTGCGTTACTTTGAGAAATTGCAAACGTAAATAATTTCTGAAGGATGAGATTGTAACTATATTTCTGATGTATGGTCACTTTGACATGATGTAATGGTTAACAAGCTTCTCCCACTAGATCAATTAGGACCGAGTAGTGAGTTTTTTTCTCAATTAGTGCTTCATACTTGCGGCATTGTGTCACATTTAAACTACTCTTAGCACAGCGCGATAAATTGGGCACTTCGACATGATATAAGGGTTAGCAAACTTGTCTTACTAGATCAATTATGTCTGAGTAGTGAGTTCGATCTTCAATGGGTGCTTTCTACTTTCGATCTGGTGCCACATCTAAGCTCAGCTTAGTAAACCATTATTTTTATAATGTAATTTTAAAGTTTTTTTTTATAAGAATAACAAGAGATGGAAAATATTAACGATTTTTCGAGAAAGAGATACAATTAAAAAAGGGAAAACTCCTGTACCTTGGACCCGTTAAGTAAGGGAAGCCGACAAACAAACCGCTTTTTTCTTGCTAGTTCATTCATTGATTAATTCATACGGGCATTTCTTTTGCGCATGCGTCTTTATAAAAGGCGCTATGATTACATAGCCACAAAAGAAATCATTAATAACAGCTTACATGCGACACACCCACTACATCGAGGCACTTAAAACGGATTTATCCGCACACGCACGCATATCTCTCTTCCTGCGAACGTTGACGACATGAATGTGTGTTGAACATTGTATTTAAGTATAATAAGCCATTTAGCAAGGTAAGGTGGCTTAGTGGACAGGAGAGAGCCGACAGTGTAAGCGACTAGGCGGCTTGTGTCATTTTGGGCTTAATTATTTGGCTCAGGAAACAAATTTCTTGGTCCTAATCAGAGTACATGTACGATGCAACATGGCAAGTCAGTGTGGGGGACTTTGCGAAAAAGTTGCTATCAAGTAATTCTATAATCTTGAAGACTGTAAACAAGGAAAAATGGACGTAAGGCTGTATTGATATGAAACTGCTTGTTTTCACTGAACACAAATAAGGGAAAGGCATGAATCAGCTTAACCATTAAAATAAATAAATAAAGCAATATTGAATAGATGTAACATTTTATCTGCCTAAAAGCTTTTATATGATGCCTTTGACTACGTTTTGGGATTAAGTGCGCCCTTGTGCAAGTCTTTCTGGTAGAAATTTTCGACCCACGCTGCCGTTGCCATCATTATATATATATATATATATATATATATATATACAATGAAAAAGAAAAACTTTAAAGGTGCAGAAAATGGACCCTTAAAGTTGTCTGTTTTCCTTGAATTAATATATATATATATATATATATATATATAGAAAAAGTTTCAAATTAAAAATTATAATGTTTTATTTTATGAAAGTATTTATTTATTTATATATATATTTGATATTTCAAATTGTCCTCAATTTTTCATCAGAAATAACTGTTTGTTACAAATAAATTAAAATTACTGTTTGTTGGCAAGTAGCGTCCTTCGCGAGACGCGGACGTCACGTGATATGGAACGTCACTGTTCAGATATTCCTAACTTAAATCTAACTGTCATAAATATTTTAAAAAATATTTTTTTACTATATCTAAAGAAATTGCTTAGCTATTGAAATATTTATAAAGATTTAAAACACCTAAGTCCCTATTCAACCCTAATTTATGTGTATTTAATTTTTAAAATCCAATATATTTTTTTTTCTGCGTGTGAATGTGGAAGTAAAATCGGAATCTATTAATAAACATTTGCAGTTTTCTAATGTGTGTCCTGATTGATTGTAGTGTTTAGCTATGGGGAATAAGGGTTGTTTTGACGTATTGTTTGTTTATGGTTATTAAAACGAAATCTAAAATTGTTTCCAGACTCACCAATATATCCACTATTAGGACATAAGTTGCAGAATAAATAATAGATTACGTTATGGGTATCGCAGGTGAGGTTAGGTGGCTGTATCCTGATATTGGTGTTGGGTACGTAAAATGTATTAGCTATTACTAAATGTTTGCAAACTAAGCAATGAGGTTTGTTACATTTGTAATTTCCTGTTTGGTTTCTATTGTTTAGATATTTGGTAGAGGTGAGGATAGCTGATAAGTTAGGTGATTGTTTCATTGCATTAATTTCAATGCATTGCATTGCATTATATATATATATATATATATATATATATATATATATATATATATATATATAGCAAATAACTAGTTATTAGCAACCGTATACACGTGCCTGATGAGTTGGTAGAACAACGAAACTTTTGTTGCACTTCGAATATATATATATATATATATATATATATATATATATATATATATATAATTTGGTTGGTGAAAAAAAAACTGGATAGCACAATTTTTACTTATACTGGCATCCGAGGAAAAATAAAAAAAATAAAAATAAATAAATAAAAAAAAAGCACCAGAAACCTGAAGAGGGTGAAAAAAAAATCGTCCATTACCTTAAATCTCTGGTACAAAGAAAAAAAAATCGAGTAATAAGTTAAAACGAAGAGTGCCCAATACACTAAATAGAGTAAAAATAAATAAATCCTAATGAGCCACGTCCTACGCACCTAGGTTTGACCACATGGGATCACACACACACACACACACACACACACACACACACACACACACACACACACACATATGTGGGAATGTGTGTTGATAGTTGGTTGATTTTTTTTGTCGGCATATCAGCCTCTAAGGTATATTTAATGCTGAAACCTAAATATTTTATACGTAAATTTATTTTATTTTATTTTATTTTTTTTTTAGAGATAACAATGGTTTTAGTCATACCATTCTTACTAATTAACACAAGAAGGTTGAACAGGTGGATTCGTACCATTCACAAGAGTATTTGCGCGTAAAGGAATATAATCGAACCCAACTGAAATTGGAACTTGGATCTCCGATTAACAATTCCGAGTAATTATCAATTACACTACCCGCGCATCCAAGCTTACAACACCTGATATTCCCAAGCGGTCGCCGATCTAGGTATTGACCATACTCAACGTTGCTTAACTTCGGTGATCGTACAAGAACCGGTGTTCCGTGTATATTGATTAAAATTTACTATGTTTATGCGTTTGTAGATAACGACAGCGTGGACATAGAGATCCACACTGCATAGTGACTGTCAGTTTCACGCCTCACTGTCTGAGGTGCGTTTTTGTATAAATCAGGAGGTGCTGAAAACATTTAGGGCCAAATCACTTCTCCAGACATAATCAAGCAAAAGATGAATTTTATAAGCTTGTTTTTCGAGTAGAGACATTTTTTTTTATATCTAATTGTAATACCACCATTGCCTGAAAAAATAGCAAGTTTTGTTCTTGAGGATGACCAGTAAATAGTCGAGAGTATTCTCGTGAGATGGAGATAAGAACTATAGACATTCCTGTGTAGCCTTGAACCAACCATTCGCTCCCTCTTATGCAAACACGAAAAACTACATTAAAAATTAACAAAGTATTCCTTGTCTGTCATATATATATATATATATATATATATATATATATATATAATCCGAGAATGGCTACAGATAGAAGAAGCTAAAGTTTGCCTACCTCAAAGGCTTGTCTCTTAAAAATACTTTAATGTGTCACTTCGCATTTATTGTTGACAAGAAACCTAAAACGTTTTGTCTCGTAAATAGTGTCGTCCTTTTAATAATTCCAGGAAATGTCGCATGATTCTTCACTTTTGATGTGGTGGGGGTGTCTACTTGTTAGATGTACCCACCTACTTCTCCCCTGCCAATCTACACGCATGCTCACCTTCACCCCCCTCCTCCTACACACAATGCTGACCCCCCCCCCCCCCGCCCAACTTCTCTTTCTCATTTTTGACTTTGTCTCTGTCTTTCACTTTCCCTCTGAAAAAAAAAAAAATCAACACCGTCTTCACTTGCCAACTCTCGACCGCTGCCCACCCCCACCGCTGCTGGTGTTTTTTTATTTTTTTGTTTTTTCATAAATGAGTCATTGAATAATTCATGTCATAAACTCAGAAAACAATGTTAATTGTGCTAACAATCAACAATTACGTTAAGTGGTTTAAGCGAAAGAGCGAGACTGGTAACGGTTATTAGTGTAGGAAAGAATATCGACGATCCAAGTTCGAATCTTGATCTCGGTTTGCTCATTCAAAGGAAGGCATGAATCCACATTGCCCTCTAGTCTGGTCTTGTTGAGAAATATTTTGGCAAAATGCCGCCATTGAGAATTCACGGTTTTATTTTTTTTTTTTTAAGGCGGAAGACTGGGTAAGCAGCTACTTAGCAAACCACTCTTCCATATTGTTAATTTCCGAAATTTTCATCCTACAGTATCAATTGTACATATACTATGTACAATGGAAACCAAAAAGCTCTTGGCTCTCTACCCAGAATCCTTATTTTCAGTACACACTCATATATATATATATATATATATATATAAAAGTGAACATTGAAATCAACACAGAGGCGGCAGGCTGTTTCATGCTGGATGCAGTCGACAGGCCACCTGACGATTGCGTCTAGCATGAAACAGACTGTCGCTCTAAGTGTTGACTTCAATGTTCACTTTTATATTTACACACGCTCTATCTGTGATATTGAGCACTTTATCCCATAAATATAGCACACCTTCAGACTATATATATGTGTGTGTTTGTTTCTTGAGGATTTTGTTCACGTATGACACTGACTGTCGCCACTTGATTTTGATCTCCATGTCCACTTTTATATTTACATACGCTCTATCCCTGATCACCTGAAGAAGGCCGGAGCGTACAACGGCCGAAACGTTGTGAATACGACAATGAAGATGAGGATAACAGTCCGAATAGTGTAAATAATGAAAGTAATCATAATACCTCATCTCAGAGATCCAATCACCTGAAGAAGGCCGGAGCGTACAACGGCCGAAACGGTGTGAATACGACAATGAAGATGAGGATAACAGTCGGAATAGTGTAAATAATGAAAGTAATTATAATACCCTATCTCAGAGATATAGAAGCCGAAACGGTGTGAATACGGCAAATGAAGATGAGGAAAACAGTCCGAATAATGTAAATAATGCAAGTAATCATAATACCTCATCTCAGAGATCTGTCGATATTAAAACAAAAACCATACGTAAAAAAACAGGTATAATCGAAGAACTTTTTTTGATCTTCTTAAAGATACCTGAAGTGTTGGCATTGACTATCGAAAGTGCAAGAATGTTCTACTCCTTCACTATCCGACGTGAAAAAATATTTTCGTATATTCAAACGATAGGGCACTGGCTGAATTGTTAAGATTGGATAATGTGTTTTATTGTGGCGAAATGAAGGGTAATTTTTAATGAAGATTTTTCTTCTTTTTTTTTCTTGTGAAAAAAATAAGAAAATGAAAAAGAAAAAAAAAAAAAAAAAAAAAAAGAAAAAAAAAAAAGGAGAAAAACGACGACATAAAATGAAATACCTAAGTGAAATTAGTGGGAAACTGAATTCATAATTGTTACCTTTGCCTCGTATGCTAAGAAAAGTGTGGCACGGATGATGAAACTAAAATTAAAAAGAAAATCGTCTGGTCGGCCCGTGGATATTGTAGGTAGATAAATAACGATTATCAGGGAGGATGTAAAATTATAGCCTCCCTTGTGCTGACCAGCTTCTGGCGAGGACTGAGGCAACATTACGGTAAGCTAGATAAGAGGAGCAAGCGAAAAGGTTTATTTCTAATTATTAGTTAACTGACAACAATTTAGCAACCTGCCACTGAGAGTCAGACACACACACTCTCTCTTTCTCTCCCATTCTCTCTATCTCTCTGTTAGACACACACACGTATACATTTGATACATAATATTGTATTTTGTGGTTAGTGATATAAAATATACCCCCAGCAGATATGAAGACACACCTTGTTTATTAATAGCAGCTGTGTGTTTTCCTTGAAGTTAATCACACTTCATAACAAAGGATATCCATATGCATAAAACGCAGTAATATCCATATGCATAAAACGCAGTATGTTTTAATATCGTTCTTTCTATGTATCTAGCTATCTCAGTCTTTTCTATCTATCCATCTATAAATCTCTGTCTTATCTATCTATCTATCTCTGTCCTATCTATCTATCTATCTATCTATCTATCTATCTATCTATCTATCTAAGTCTCCATGTGTGTCTATCGTTTTCATTCATTTCATATTTATCGATTCCAGTCTTTTTATATCTGTTTATCTACTTCAATCTTTTCATATCTATCTATCTATCTATCTATCTATCTATCTATCTATCTATCTATCTATCTATCTACCTATCTAAGTCTTCATGTGTGTCTATCGTTTTCAGTCATTTCATATTTATCGATTCCAGTCTTTTTATATCTGTTTATCTACTTCAATCTTTTCCTATCTATCTATCTATCTATCTATCTATCTATCTATCTAAGTCTTCATGTGTGTCTATCGTTTTCAGTCATTTCATATTTATCGATTCCAGTCTTTTTATATCTGTTTATCTACTTCAATCTTTTCATATCTATCTATCTATCAAATAGAATAAAATGTTTGAATTTTATCTTCCTTGAATTTCTTGTTGCATTTGTTTACCATAACTGCTCTTTCTTCACATTTTACTTATAAAGCCTGCTTTCTTTAAAAGCGTCATCTTACAGAAATATATCAGTCGCAGTTTTTAAATATATGAGAGATGTTATTTCTCCCTCTCCCTCTTTATATATATATATATATATATATATAATGTTGTTTAATATTTCTAATATATATGATTGGAGAGTGATCAACATACCTAAAACTTATAAAAGTTAGTTATCGAGATTTCAACGCTTTTTATGACATTTTATATCAAACAGAAATATTAGTGGATAAAAATAACAATGAATCGTTAAAAGCATAGACATTGGCTCAGTTAACACTCGAGTCAAAATGTTACCCATAAGTTCAGTTTATAAAATAAAGGTAGACATAGGTCCTGTTTTTACGAGAGTCAACAAGTTAGATATAGGTTCGGTTTACACTAAGACAGATATAGGTCGGATTTACACTAAGATAGATAGCGGGCCTAGGTAGATAAGGTCCAGTTTACACTAAGATATAGGTCCGATTTACACTAAGGTAGATATAGGTCCGATTTACACTAAGGTAGATATAGGCACGATTTACACTAAGGTAGATAGCAGGCCTAGGTAGATATAGGTCCGATTTACAGTAAGGTAGATATAGGCCCGATTTACACTAAGATAGCGAGCCTAGGTAGATATAGGGCCGTTTTATACTAGGTAAATAAATGGTGAACATAGTTCGGTTATATACCGAAGTCTGCGAGTATCCACCGGAAGATTACTTCGTTCTTAGGGTGTATTTTAATCATTTGTAGAAGTTTCTGTCGGTAAATTCTGAACGCAACCGACAGAACAGTCAGGAAAAAGACTCATAGATATTCGAAGAATCATATTCTATTATATTCCGTTTTGGTTTGGATGCTGAAGGCACTCTAGGATCAAGCCACTGTCATTCAAACGAGCCCTTTGATCACTTCATAACGTTACAGTAATTCCTAATAAAGAATTCTGTTTTAATCCCACTAAACATAGAAGAAATATATTCTATTCTATTCTGTTTAGGTTTGAATTCTGAAGAAAATCTTGTATTGAGTCACTACTTTTTAGATCCTCGTAATAAATCCATTTTATTCTTGCGTGTTAGTAGCTGGTTTCAAAATTAGCCATCTTTGTTTCTTTCTGTCAAGTACAACAAGAAAGCCAAATACTTCAACGCCTACCGACATTTCATTTCAAGCAGTCTAATTTCTAAAACTTGTTTGTTAACCATGCCATAGAAAACTTTGCAAAATTCAAAGGCACTTCAAATATTTTGTAATATATGCTGCTGGTAATTTTTGCATCGTCCTGATGTCTCTGCATATGGAAAGATAAAAGAAACAATCAACTCAAATTTTAATCTAATAAGCTGTTGTGCTGCATGAGAAAATAAGGAATCAGAATGACTGTACAATTGCGTTTGTGCTTGTGAGAGACATTTTGAATTTACCATTTTATCAGTAATAGTGTTTATGTTATTTATTTATGTTTAGTGAGATTCAAACAGAATTCTTTATTATGAATTGCTGTGACGTAGATAATATAATGATCAAATGGTTCATTTGAATGAGGCGTTGAAAGCGTCAAGAGATCTACCTTTCTTCATATCCTCGTGTTGTCAATTCTGCAGCCTAAACTATCAAAACTAAAAGCAAGAGTGTAAGTACAGTAGACGTGGCCATATTGAATTTCGATCTTCACAAATTTCCCGCTTCTATCTTTGCCATTTGTTAATGAATGGAAAGAGAAAAAGATAGACTTTCGATTCAAACACTGGAATTGAAACTAATGTTACGATTCGCAATTAATATTTTTGTAGTATTAAAATGTAGATACTGTGCATTCGTGTGAGTCTATTGAATCTTGTCAAACATTATTACCCTTCATTTATACAAATGGCAATTCGATTTTTATTGGTTTGTTTTTCGTTTTTTTATGTTGGTTTTTACAGCTTATCAACCCTTTTTGAGCTTAAAACACAAACATATTTTGGATTGTAGGAAGTCGTTTACAGTACCCGATGTTCCCACACGTTCCCCCATATACGTAATGACCAGGCTCGACACTGCTTAACTTCGGTGATTGAATAAGAACCGGTGATTTTAGACGTGATGCACCGACTGTGTATGAGACGTGCAATTTTTTTAATGAAAATTGAGAAAACGCAGAGACTGTATCATAGTAATAGTTTTGACCATCTGTCAATTATAATCAAATTTTGGTTTAACGCGGAGAGGATACATTATTATTAATAGGGATAGAACTATTGTTAAAATTAGGAAAATGATAATGATATTAATGATGCTAGTAACTGAAAGTTAAAAAAAAATAATGCCGAAATGCCACTTTTCAAAAACTTGGCTTTAATCGATTAATTATTATGATTAATAAGTTTTAATTTTCACCAAACCACAGTTTATTCGTTATGATTCGTTTTATTGTCTTATTGGCTTTTGATGTATTCATCATTAAGAATAATATTTAGTTTATTTTTGTAACACCAATGCGACAACTTGTAATCAATATGTAACTACAAGACCCTCACGGCACAACAACAGACAAGGCCGCTAACAAGAACGGGAAAAAAAAAAAAAACATAACTGGCAACTTCCCAGGGAAAGTCAATGTCATTAGCCATAAATGCTCGATGGAGATTAGACACACAAACACATACTTCTGCATGCGTTACATTGCGAGATGAGGGCTTTATGGCATCGGTTTAACTCTGATTATTTTCTTAATATTTTTTATAGTCCTTAATCGATCTATCCTCCTTGACTATCATCTCTTGAGTGTGTATCCGTCTGCTCGTGTCTATCTTCTCCGGCATCTCTCCGTACGGTTCGGCTTCATCTTCTCCAGTTTCTGTCCTGGTCTGAACGTTCCTCACTTTTTGGTGTCTGTTGAGGACACTCCATGTCTTTCGTCAATGTTATCTGTCCCGGTCAACCTGTGTCTCTCTTCTCCGGCGTCTCTCCCGGTCACTTCTCTCTGCTGTCTGTCCTGGGCCGACCGTATCTCTCCTCTCAAGTGTTTATCTTATTCGGCGCGTGTCTCTCTCCGGCATCTGTCCCGTTCCGCCCGTGTCTCTCCTCTCCGGCTTCTTCGCCAGTGTCTCTCCTCTCCGGCTTCTTCGCCGGTGTCTCTCCTCTCCGGCTTCTACGCCGGTGTCTCTCCTCTCCGGCTTCTTCGTCGGTGTCTCTCCTCTCCGGCTTCTTCGTCGGTGTCTCTCCTCTCCGGCGTCTGTCCCGTTCCGCGCGCGTCTCGCCTCTCCGGCGTCTGTCCCGTTCCGCCCGCGTCTCGCCTCTCCGACATCTGTCCGGTTCCGCCCGTGTCTCTCTCCGACGTCTGTTCGGTTCCGCCCGTGTCTCTCTCCGACGTCTGTTCGGTTCCGCCCGTGTTTCTCCTCTCCGGCATTTGTCCCATTCCGCCCGTGTCTCTCCTCTCTGGCATCTGTCCCGTTCCGTTAGTCAAAAACAGTACGTTTTCCCAGCAGAGATATAGCATTGTTATTCGTAGTTACGCATCTAGATACTCGTAGACATGCTAGTGTGAATAAAATACATTTTATTGAAAAGAGACTGCTATCTTTTACAAACACAGATACATTAAACTTAGCTTTGTTTGGCACAGAGCCTGATGAAGGCACGTACGTATTAATATCTAGGTGTAGCTCAAATTTCCCCAAGGGAAGCACACGCAAACATTGTAAAACAGAATTCGAAATCTTGGCCTTCGTTTATTGGTCGCCCATTGGCACCGGTGGGAAAGACAACAAGCTTAGACCCCGGCACAGACCAAAGATAAGCTTATTGTAATCTCGTATTATGTGCTGGAACATTTTTCTCGACGTCCATCCGCTCCAGCAACGGATACTCGAAACTGCGGATAACACTGAGCCCTATATAAAATGGAGTCCTTCCATATATTCGGGAAATAATACATCACTTTTTCTATTTCTCATTATCGCCGATACACCTCCAATCTATTTTTTTGTACCTACATTCGTATTATTAGTGGTACTATTCAAGTTTCTTACTGTTGTATCTTTGCTTTTATTTGTTTTGGTTTTACACCAAGTAATACTAGTTTAAGTCGTTGGAATTTCTTAGATAAAGCATTAACTATTATTAATTCTTTTTTTTAAGTAATATTACTTTAAGCACATTTCTCCTGCTTTTTCACCTTGTAGCAATAGTCTTGTGATGTGCGGTGTAGCATTGATTTATAAAATTTGGTGACATAGTGATTGTGAGTTCAATCCCTAGCTCGGGCAGTGTGTACTTGGACTCAGTGGGAACAGGGTGAAAAGTAACTGAACTATGCTAAATAAATAAAAAGAAAGAATTAGACGAGATCTTTAGGCATGGATAATGGAACGCGAAAAGTCTAGAGTTCTAAATGAAATAAAGGGTTCACTATTTACATTATACGGACTATTGTTCTCATCTTTGTCGCCATGTTTATCACAACGTTTCAGCTGTTGTACGCCCCGGCTTTCTTCAGGTGGTTGGAATGAACTAAACTGAACCCTTTATTTCGCTCATTGGGGTAGACTGTTCTAGTTCCACGTGCCAGGTCTACCCCAGTGAGCGAAATATAGGGTTCAGTTCGACAGTCCAACCACCTGAAGAAGGCCGGAGCGTACAACGGCCGAAACGTTGTGATAAACATGGCGACAAAGATGAGGACAATAGTCCGAATAATGTAAATAGTGTACATAATACCTCATCTCAGAAATATAGACAGGTAATAAAGGGTTCAGTTCGGAATTTTCTGTAGGTGACCTAGGTCGATAAACAGCCGAGAAAGGCCGGAGAACACAACGGCCGAAAGATTGTGATAAAAACAAGAAAAATGAGGACAATTTTCCGGATATAAATAGTTTCGAAAATCCAAGTATTAATAAGTGTTTATTTTAGTGGGATTTATTTTCTATGCACTTATGTATGTGCAAAGGTTTCCAGTGTAAAACTGGTTTTCAGCCGTGTGCACATTGTCTCGTTTAAAGAAAGTCATTTTTACACACACCTAAAAATTTGTTTTTTAACTGAAGTTTATGTTAGTGATAATTGCAAAGAGAGAAAGAGGTCGAAAGAGCGAGTGGGGTATTCCGAGTGATGTCTTCTGTTGTCGACTGATGGTGGTAGTATTTTCCTTCTTGCTGTCAAATAGCGTTTCCCACTAATGTCTCAACTGCTTTTGAGAGTTAAGCATATAAGTGCGTGTGTGTTACATATGTAATCTGCAGCAACTTGGCGTTCGGGAGAATATCTCGTTTTCAGGTCAAATTCTGGTTTGAATATGTTTCATCCTGCAGATGTTAATCAGAAATCCAATATTATATTTAGCTATTTCTTCCAGACAAAAAAGTTGTAAAATCCGTTTTCACAGTCTTAATATGACACCTTTCTACAGCATTAGTAAATAATTACC